GTGTTTGATAAATACGTTTAAATATTCCCCGTCTGTATTCTCCTTAACGGATCACTCACAGCAGGACAAAGTGACGATCAAAGACAGAGCATTTCATGCACTAATTTGTCTCTGACTACCAACAATCATTTAACAGGAGGGGGGTGTTTACATAAATGCTGGCTGCAACGTTTTGTGTTTTCTACTTCTTTGAAATTCAGCTGCGTTGCAAACTTGTCGACTCAGTGTTTTTTGATGGTGCACAAAGTCAGCTCATTTCAGCAGAAGATTAACCTCAGTGAAAACAGTGCACCGGATTTCACTCCAGCATTACTTCCTTTAGTGACTTTTAATATGTGCTGTAAGCATTTGTTTTGCAGGGAAGACCTTTTTTTCTGTGATTTGATTTGTCGGGATAAGTTAAAGAGGTCAGTGGCTCAAAGGAAACTAATCTTGAATAAAGTGGCATTTGTTTTAATCAAACCTCTTCCTAAACAAGTTTTCTTATCTTGGAAACACCTTGAAGAGTACCATTGGCTTCATGCCGATGTGATCAGATATGCATCCATTGTCATCTCTGGTGTTGTGAAATTCACCAAGAGTTTTATGTTCAGGATTAAATAGTATTTCTTTCTCTTGTAATGTTTATGGTCTTATTCAAGTCTGATGGTTTTGCCAGTAAAATGCTACTTCCTATTGAAATAACCATTATGCTTCAGCTGCAGGAGCAGCTGATAGGGTTTTAATGTACTCTATATCAATGGGGAAAAATAATTTTATTACCAGCATTATGTAATAATTGTTCATTGCCACTGACACCTCACTACAAATTTAAGCTGAGAATACTTTAAAGTTCCATTGCATTATAACTTAAACCTTAATTTTGTTACAAAAAATTTAAATAAATAAAATAAACAGAATGCCATGTGTAAACGTAGCAGGGTAATGATGTTTTCACTAGAGCATGCACTCTCCTGGCTGATTCTGTTTGTTGCACAGAAGTTGTGTGGGTGGCATCCATGGACGACTCAAATTTATAATCTCAGGATTTGAAGATTAACCAAATCGTACCAATAGGCAGTGCAYAATGTGAATTTGTAAAGCATTCATGAATAAATGTTATTTTGGGTGGAATGGAAATGCACTGATTTGTGTGTCTGTCAACTGATATGATTTGATGTTTTTAGCATAGTTTGAAACTCTTTGTTTCTTCAGTAATGGTGTGTGTGTATATATATATATATAT